TGCTGAGTTCCTACGCAATATGACTCTAGGTAGGAATGCGTTCAAGTCAGTAATTAGCAAAGACAACTGAACAGTGATTAAAGTGTTGCTCGGTTCCTTTAATAGTTGGCAGCATAAATAAAAGATTAAAATAAAAGGAGGGAAATAGTGGAAATCTAAGTAGATTTATAGCTTAACTAATAGAGTTTAGCTACATGTACACTTAAATTGCTTAGTGAAAAAACCACTTTTAGTGAAATTTTAATTATAATTCAGATATTGCTCAGTTCAAATAACCTGATAGTTTGAGTTTGTTGTTTCTTCTTTCACGGAATAGGCCTGTGTGTATGTTCTGATAAATCTTACAGATTCATTTGGTATGTTTCCTCCTGGGAATAGAAAATAGGACACTGGAGGGAGAAGTATTTAAAATTTATTAAAATATTCATTTTGGTACCTAACTATTTTGTTTCTCCAATTCTTGTTCGGGTAAATTCAGATTTCTATGTGGTCTTGATTTGAACCATCGGCCCAGAGGCAAGGGAGAGATGAAAAGCAAATCGGACCTCTGGAATTCTAAGAATTGTTGCTAATTTTTAGCATTTTCTTTTTGCCTTAGAGTGCATGTGCTCCCTTTTGGGGGGTGAGCAGAGACAGAGACAGTGAGAGGGAAAGTGAGAAATCAGTCCCCAGGAATGATGGCCACTCCACCATCCTTTCTCCTTCATTCTCTGCCTGGAATCTTGGGCATGCACACATATATGCCTGGTGTGATTTTCAAGCCACCGGGTCTAGGACTCGAACTGTGCTTGGCCATGTGGGAGTCCTGTGACTTAACTACTACATCATCTGCTGGCCCAATTTCTAGTGTTTTCAAAACATAGTTATAGATTGTAGAGCTTCATTAGTTGCCAGAAATGTACAGTTTTTACCCCAAACTATGTTTTTTTCCTCCCCTTCTCTCCCCTCTCTTCCTCTCTTCTCCTCTCGTCTTCTCTCCTCCTCTCTTCTCTCTCCCCTCCTCTTCTCTTCTTTTCTTTTCTTCTTCTTCTCTCCACCTCCATTTCTGTCTTTCTCTCTTATAGAAAAATAAATAAATAAGTTTATATAAAATAATTTAATAAGAGAAAAGACAAACAGATTTTATTTATGTAAGACAATGTGGTGGGACTCACGGAAAATGTGAACCCATCTCATGGCCTAGTGGTTAAGGGAGCCAGAGTCCATATGGCCGATTGTGGTTCAGATCCCACAGTGGCTTAAAAAACACTCCTGGCATGTGTGCGTGCTTGCCCCAAATCCCAGCAGACGGAGAAAGGACTGCAGGGTGATCATGCCCCACTGGTGGGTGGGGGGCTTTCTCCCCTTTCCTTTGGTCTCTCTCTGGTAAGCACATATGCCCCCTGGCAATTAGAAAGAAAATATGAACTCATGAGGGGTCAAGTGGTTGAGGCTTAAATGCTCTTTCTCAGAAGAGAGGAAAATAGTGGGAAGATTTCAGGCCATTTTAGGATAGATTATTTTTAACAGGAAATACTGAGTCTTATGCACAGATCATGGCAAGTAAGCGACTCTCTTTGGGAGCTCGATGGGCCTGGGCGTGGACGAAATCTGCCAGATATGTTGCAATTCCTCAGTTTTTCTTCCTGCAGTAAGAGTTTAGTTGAAACTTCGGGGAGAGGGGGCCAAGGTTCATTGTTTTTCTCTTTGGTGAGTTCAGTTCTTAGGCAATGGAACAAACCCCTTTCTGTACTTCAGAAGAGAAAGAGGATCAAAAATTATCAAGAGGCGGGGCAGGGGGTTGGGGAGAGAAGAAAGAAAAACATCTTGGTCCTGAGGTTGTTTCTTTAATTCAGCTTGTCAAAGCCCTGGTCTATGCGGTACTGTCTTCCGAGCCCCAGTTGACCTAATAATTCAGCTTTGTATTTCTAGCACAATGTCTAGCTTCAAATAAAAGTTAAAAATATTAGTTGACCTGAACTTGGAAATAAAACTTCTTCCAAAATAATTATTCTTCAACAAGAAGTAATAGTTAAATGTGTTGGAAGAGAGAAGAATCAAATTGTTGATGCTTTATTCTTTTCCTTTCTCCTTCTAGGTTTTTGCTAATAAGAAATAAAATCAGAAGAATTCTAATCTGATTATGGATTTGGGAGAAAGGTTACTCTACATACAAAGGGGAAACTGAAAGGGCAGACAGTCCTCAGGCACGATGCCATTTTGCCACAATATAATCAATATTTCCTGTGTGAAAAGCAACTGGTCAAATGATGTCCGGGCTTCCCTGTACAGTCTGATGGTGCTTATCATTCTGACCACACTGGTCGGCAATCTGATAGTTATTATTTCCATATCGCACTTCAAGCAACTTCATACCCCGACCAATTGGCTTATTCATTCCATGGCCACTGTAGACTTTCTGCTGGGGTGCCTGGTCATGCCTTACAGCATGGTGAGATCAGTGGAACACTGCTGGTATTTTGGAGATGTCTTCTGTAAAATTCACACCAGCACGGACATTATGTTGAGCTCAGCATCCATTTTCCACTTGTCTTTCATTTCTATTGACCGCTACTATGCTGTGTGTGACCCATTGAGATATAAGGCCAGAATCAGCATTTTCGTTATTATTGTCATGATCTTCATCAGTTGGAGTGTCCCTGCTATTTTTGCATTTGGAATGATCTTTCCAGAGCTGAACCTCAAAGGAGTCGAAGAGCTGTATTGCAAACATGTTCACTGCATCGGAGGTTGTTCTGTCTTCTTTAGCAAAGTATCTGGGGTCTTGGCCTTTATGACTTCTTTCTATATACCTGGATCTATTATGCTGTGTGTCTATTATAGAATATATTCAATTGCTAAAACACAGGCAAGATCAATTCATGATGCAAACCAGAAGGTTCAAATTGGATTGGAAGAGAAAAATGGAATTTCACGAAGCAGAGAAAGGAAAGCTGCGAAGACATTAGGGATTGTGATGGGAGTTTTCCTAATATGCTGGTGTCCTTTCTTTGTCTGCACGGTTATGGATCCTTTCCTGGACTACACTATTCCACCCGTTTTGAATGATGCATTGATTTGGTTTGGCTATTTGAACTCTACTTTTAATCCAATGGTTTATGCTTTCTTCTATCCCTGGTTTAGAAAAGCACTGAAGATGATTCTATTGGGTAAAATTTTTCAAAAAGATTCATCTAGGTGTAAACTATTTATAAACTCAAATCCATAGCAGTACTGTATTGTACTATTTTGCAAAATAGTTGGTGATCATATGTGTGAACAGAACATAGTAAACCACATGCACCAATTATGGTTCATTTCTCAATGATTTGAACCAAAGTATGCATGGTGAGTTCAATTATGCTGTTTATATTTCATTTCCTGCTTGGGATATAGTAGGTATGATCTTTGCCTTTTTTTTACTACGCATATTGAAGCTTTGTAAATCTAGCACGTAAGCACTACACATTGAAGAGCTTTTCTAGCCCTTAGATGAACTGCCATGAGCTGTCAGAACAACCATCCTTAGCGGCTCAGTGGTGGATTCAATAGGGCTGTATCGGGCCTATAGTTTGGAATACTTTTGTAATAAGTATACATGCATTTTTCTTGTATGTAAATAATGTTGCATATATGATATTTTGTAAAATCAACTGAGAGTACACATTGAATGTTATTAACTAAATAAATTACATCTAATTTACTATTTGTATCCTTATTAATATATATTCCAACCTCTAAAAGCCTTGCTCTTTCTTTTGAAAAAAATAGGGTTTTTCAGGGACAGTAGATAGCATAGTGGTTATGTGGCTGGACTCCCACATGGTTGACTGAGTCCTGGACCTGGTGACTTGAAAATCACATTGGGTGCATGTGCATGTGTGTCCCAGATCCCAGAAGGATAAGGGAGGAGAAGGGACTGTGGCATGGCCAGTTCTTCTGGGGGTGATTTCTCACTTTTCCTCTCATTGTCTCTGTTTTTCTCTCTCTCCAGTGAGTGTGCAGGCCCTATGGCAAAAAACCTCTAAAAAAACAAAATTAGAGCTTTTTGATTCTCTTAATTGTAGAAATTAGAAAAATATACAAAGAAATACCATAAAATATTAAAATTTTAAAATGCAACTCATAGTTCACTTCCTGGAAATAATTATATCATTTAAAATCCTTTGAAATATTTGTTTATGTATTCATAGTATTGCTTTGTATGGATATAAATATATTTTTTAATACCCTTTTCCTATTTTTGACCAGTTTAGTTGTCTCTAGTTTCCATTTATTTATTTATTTTTAATTAGGTTTTTGTCATAGGGTGCATGTTTACTGGCAAAAGAGAGAGGGAAAGTGAGAAATCACCTCCTGGGGGCGATGGTCATGCCACAATCTCTTCTCCATTTTCCTCTCTTGGGATTTTGGGCATGCATGCACATTTGCTCAGTATGATTTTCAAGCTGCCTGGTCCAGGACTTGAACTGTGGTTGAACAGCACCTACTGAGAGTCCAGTGCCTTAACCACCATACCACCAGGTGGCCCTCCCCCACTTTTAAAAATAATTAGAATTAAATACAGTTTCAGCCTATTGCCTGCTACCAAAGTCAAACTGTTCGGAAGGATTTTACTGTCTTTTAAAGTTATCCCTTATGCAGAAGGATTCTAAATTCAGGCTATCTGGAATAAAATGAATTTACTTTGCTGGTTCTAGGGTTTACAGAATGAGAGGCAGTTATCCTTCAGAGCAGCTAAACTGAAGGACAACAAGAGTTATTATTAGAAGTGTCAAGCCATACCTATGAGTATGATATACACAGAAGGGAGAAAGAGGTTTCCAGTAAATTTCTGCAATTCCTATGGGCAAACATCCTAAATTATAAGCATTGATATGTATTGAACTATTCTATTATATACCTCATGTCGTCTGTTTTAGGTTGAATATCACAAGGGATTTAGATTTATTTAACTATCGTGACTTATTCCTCATGAATAAGTTAGGCGAAATTAGTTGATTTTAAGTGAAATTCAAACGCACACTTCTGTGTATAAGTTTTAGTTCATGAATCTGATTATCTCTTGAGACTATTAAATTCTTCCATTTTCTACAGTTTGTTTTGGGACTATATATTTTGTTTCACTGTTCTGGCTAGATTTCTATTCTAGTACATTTAAAAAACATTATGGATTGTGTTTTATTTTAGTATAGGATAAGGTAGGATGTCTCAGTCACTCTTAATTTCAAAAACTTACCTTAACTTTTTCTTTCCTGTGAGACTGATTTGTCAGAATTTTTAAAAGGAACAAAAGTGTTTAGCATTGAGACCAGCAGTTGGCATAATGGCTATGTTGCTGGACTCCCACATAGTTGACCGCATTTCAAGCCCCGGACCTGGTAGCTTAAACTCACGCTGGGTGCGTTTGAGTGCATGTCCAGGATCCTGAGAGGAGAATGGAGGAGAAGGGATTGCAGTATGGCCACCCTCCTTGGGGGGTGATTTCTCTCTTTCTGTCTCTCTGTCTCTCTCTGTCTTTCTGGCAAGCGCACACGACCTATAGCAAAAACCTCTCTCTCAAAAAAAAAAGTGTTTAGCGTTATCTTTATGTTCCAATAATTTCTGTGCTTTTTGTCATTTATTTTCACATATTCCTCTTTAAATTATTCCTAAATGTTTTGTAGTTTTTTGTTTGCCTATTGTGAATAAATCTTTTTTCAGACCATTACATTTTTTATGTAGCCATCACTGCTGGTATATAATAAAGTTCATATTTGCTTTTTAGTTGACGCATTTGAGTTTTCATTATATGTAATCATTTTATTCTCAATCAATAGGTAATGAATAGAAGTTGAATTCCACTTGGCAATCAGAGTTTGATTCCCCAGCCTGATTGACCTGCAACTTGCTTGGCATGTGCATGAATGCCCAAGACCAGATGGGCTGGAGGACTGCAGGAAAGGGATTATGGCATGGGATGCTTGTCATCTGTCTCTCACTCTCACGTGCACTCATTCTACCATAAAAAAAGAAAAAAAACAATAAAGCCATTCTTATCTTGTATCTATTTTAAATTAATATTCAGATTTCAATATTGATTCCACATGTTTATTGGGACAAATTAAAGACTCAGATAATTCTACATTTTCCACTTAGTACCAGAACTCTGATAGCCTATCTTTCCTTGTAGGTTTTGTTTTTAATATTAAAATAAGAAATAACCAATCTTCTCCCCAAGACAGAAAGAAAGGCTTACTTCGTTTTCCCCTAGCCCAAACTTTTATTTTTTTATTTGCTTATTTATTTAATTTTAAAGAGAGATCCTTTTTAAAGGATGTATGCACTTGCCAGAGACACAATGAGAGACAGAGAGGCAGAAAGAAAGAAATCATGCCCTGGAGGGATGGCCCTGCTGCAATTCCTTCTCTTTCATTCTCCTCTCAGTATTTTGGGCATGCACGCACACGCACCTGGCATGAGTGTCAAGCTGCTGAGTCCAAAACTCGACCGTGGTAGGCCATGTGGGAGTCCAGCAATGCAACCACTACGCTATCTGCTGATCCCTCTCAAGCACAGCCTTTAGGTTGGACCAGGAGTTGAATCTGGGCTACCTGTGTTGTTCCAGGGTGTGCAGCAGTGTTTCAGCAGCACACTCCACTGTGGCCATGGCTCTATTACAATTTTAAACTTGGTTCTTGAAATAAACAATCCAGCTTTTGGAGAGTCATAAATATTTGCCAAAAAAGTAGGAAAACGAGATGAACTCCAGTCCATTGTGTATCCTGGTAGGTCACAGTTTTTGTTTAGATGGATATTTCCCCCAAGAGCTTGAACATTCACTATGTAAAGACACATGATAAGTGATTTGTGGTTCTACATATAGCAGACTGTAAAGTGCACCAAAACCAATTACTCAATAGTTAAGAGATGGACTCAAATAATTATGTAAGAATCAAATTGAAGGTTTTCTTCTCTTTTGTTTTCTTGTTCTTGTTTTTTTTTTTTTTTTTTAAAGATAAAGCATAAATACATTTTCCAAAGTGTTTCAACAGCTCGTTGAGTGTATGGCCAGCTGTAAAAAATATTCAAAGGAAGTAAATTTGTCTTTGACAGGTCTTCACCTTCTTTTCCATGTCCCTTCTTCTCCTAAAAGCCCTTTCTGAAGGCTCAAAGCTCCCGGTGAATTTATGTGTGTCTGATATTCCAGTTGCATCTTTTCATGGACGCTGGTTCTCTAGTGAGTCACATCAGCCTCAGCGTCTAGCTTGTCTCTGTCTTTGATTTTTCCCAGGAGGAAGACATCAATGACTGACACAAGTTTAAATGTTAATGTGACATCACAGCTTAAAGTTAGGCTATTTATAATGTTTTCTCAATTGCAGGCTTTCTTCTTAATAAATGTACAAGCAAAATAAACAACAATTGAAATGGTAAACTCCAAAATTTATTCATTGGTCAATATTTTCACAATGTGATCAGGGAAAGTTGTGTTTTGTTTTTGTTTTTGTTTTTTGAGAGGTTTTTGCTATAGGGCGCGTGTGCTCACCAGACACACAGAGAGAAACAGAGAGACAGAAAGCGAGAAATCACCCCCCCATGGGGGATGGCCATGCCACAATCCCTTCTCCTCCATTCTCCTCTTGGGATCTTGGGCACGCACGCACATGCGCCCGGCGTGCCCAGTGTGAGTTTAAGCCACCGGGTTTGGGATGCGAACCGTGGTCAACTATGTGGGAGTTCAGTGACATAGCCATTATGCTAACTGCTGGTCCCGAAACTTGTGTTTTTCAAACCTGGCTGCTCCTGGGAACTTTTAAATCATGTGGTTACTCAGAACTACCCCTCAAGAAAATGACCTGAGGGCAGTTCGTGGAACAGTGATAAAACACGTTGATCTGCAAGGCAGACCCACATGGGAAGGTTGCTGGTTCATATCCAGAAGCCTCCGTGAGTACACCAGACACAAGAGCCAAGAGCCAAGCTGGCAGAGGGTGGGGGTAAACTGTGGCATCAATGCCCTATAGGGAGTACAGTGTCTGATCTATGTGAAGAGAGCATACTTCTTTCTCTCTCTCTCTCTTTTTTTTTTTTTTTTTTGAGAGGTTTTTGCTATAGGGCACGTGCGCTCGCCAGAGAGACAGAGAGACAGAAAGTAAGAAATCATGCCCCGGGAGGGAGGGGGGTGGCCACGCCTCAATCCCTTCTCCTCCATTCTCCTCTCAGGATCTTGGGCATGCATAAACATGT